CCCCAAAACCCCAAAACCCCATGAGAGTGTAATAATAAGATATGGGAAATATTAATTCAAATGCAACTTCATTAATTAATCTAATAATCTTAATTCTCAGATTTTTTTATTTTTATTGTTCAATAGAATTATAACTTCTCCGCATCTTGCTGAATCTAATTCTCTCTCTCAGATTGAGCTTGCAATATCTTTTCAGCTTTCTTTCTATACTTCTCAATCTTTCTTCTCTCCTCGAGACTCGTAGCTCCATCACTCTGGCCTCTTACATGCTTTTCAGTTATTGAGTTACCACCGCTATTATTATGACTATTTCCAAGACCTGTGGCTTGACTGGTGTTCTATGTCGAACCGACAGCACCATTTGAATAGTAATTCTCTTCTTAGAGAGATTTACCAAGATTATGTCTTGTTGTTGCAGACTGCTATTCTTGCTTATACTTTTGAATTCTTTGAAGCAATTCATTTCGCTGACTGTCTTGAAGATTCAATCTATGAGATTTTTGAATAAATGCTTTATGCATGATATCATTTTCTATTGTGAGTAATCTAATCTCCTCCTCTTTGTTGGTATCTAGCTTCTCAAGTTGATCTGCAGAGGGCATACTCTTTAAAGGTGAGTTATCTAATTCTTTCTTTTGATCTTTCAATTTCTTTAAACCAATATCTTCTTACTCATTTCCAAGGCTTATTTTCTTTGTGTTTTGAAGTAGCTGAGTACTTTAGCAATGTTGATTATTGTGATTAAGCTTTTTTAATGGCAAATTTATTAGGGCTCCTGAGGAAAATCTTTTGATCTTTGGTTGATTGATTATTTGATTACATTTTGCAGTGATTGAACTCTATCTGTTACTATGAACACCTTTTGGTCTTGATAATATCGAGTTTTAAGAGGAAGACCTACCAATACCTAAGAATTATAAGTTGGACATAAAAAAGTCATGAGTAGAATTGCTATGTCCTAGATTAGCTATCGGTGACTGATAAAGGCTTTCTCTATTGATAGGCAAACCTTGATTGTTAAATGGAGGATGTTTGTCCATTTCTTACAAGAAATTCTAAAAATGACTAAGAAGGTCTTTCTTTGAATTTTAATCACAGATACAACTTGATTTACCACAATAGCAAAGAGAGGGTTGTCTGCTATTATACTTTAAAGATAAAGTATCCTCACCTGATAGCTGTTGATTTCCATTACTCTTCTTAAAGAATAGAGAATTAGGCAAGCATTATGATTTTTAGTGATTATGATTTGTTTCATTTTCTATCTATTTCTCACTTATCACATATTCAAAGTTAGGTTAATCATTGCTTTATCCATTTCTCTATTTAATGTTTCCAAGCTGTCCATTATACAGATTTTTAGGACTAATTATCTTCGTGAGGTTTTCTGAATAGTCTCCACCAACTGAGTAATCATCTTGGATGCTTGAAACATTAACACTTTGATTACAGTTATTATTGTTGTTGTTGTTATTGCTGTTAGTCTTATATTATTGCAATTGTTTAGATCTTTGATCCTTCCCTTAAATATATTGTTGCTGGATGTTATTGTCTTATTGAATACTCATCTATGACATAGTCTTCATCATCAAGCTTTTGAAAGAAGATAATGTTTTAGTCATTGACATGGCTTCCATATCATTACATTAGTTTGAATTTGTATTCTTTTGGTTATTCTACTATTAAATAAACATCTTCTACTCATTTTCTTCTCTTCTTTTATCTTGATAATATTTATTTAGTCTCTCTTATATCTTCTTTAATTCTTCAGTTTACACAGGTTTTTTTATTATATGAATTTCTTAGCCTGGCTTTTTATTTTCCTCTTAGAGCAGAATGTTATTTAAGTCTAAGCCTGCTGATTTTTTCTTTAGATACATATGGTTATTATTATCAAATGAAGTTACTACTTGATTTTGTCCTGGTCCAGAGCTTGTTAAAAGCTTAAGATTTGTAATCTAAGGGGAAAGATTTTCACCGCTTTCCAATCTTAAGGTTTATTTACTATGATTGATCCTACTATTTACAACACTATTCAGAGATTTAAAGGTATTTGACTCCTTCTTGTTATGTTAGTATGGATTCTCATCAGTAGAGGTTAATAGTAGATCTTAGTTTTGACTTAGCATTATCTGCTATTGTGACATCTCATATTAATTCTGGTAGTTGCTCTATGTAAGTTTATTGTTCTCCTTATTTGAAGCAACATTAAGTGACTGCTTTCTAAGATGATTAGCATTTTTAGATTTAGATTTCTTTAAATCCTTTATCTCGAATATTGTTTTTGAGGAAGGTTACTTGTGAATATTTTTCCTTGTCTACGACTTTTTAAGCAAGTCTTTGCCTCTTTACAGCTCATTGAGTTTTCTTATTTCTTTTATTTTTTCTTAAGTTCTCTTTCTTTTAATATTCTGTCCTTTACTTTGATTTCTATCACTCTCTCTTTGAGTATCTGGAGAGGTCACTTCTTAATTATCACTGCCTAAATCTTCAAATCTATTCTTATATCCAAATATTTATTGTTTATTAGTTATCTATGGTGAGAAGTACTAAAGAGTATCTCTGTTATAGTCTACCTATTGATATTAGTGTTACTAGTTGTAGTCATCGTTTTACAAATTCTTGTTTTATAATTTGGCATCACTAAAGTATTACTATTATTAGTGCTCATCATTATGATACTAATTAGGCTGTAGATTTAACTGGATTTGGGATTAATTGAATTAATAGTTGCTATTTTGTATTGAAGGCTTATGATTATGCTGCCAATACATGACAGAATTTTTAGATCCACTCCTTGATAATGTTCTACTCATTCTCTCTCCCTTAATAACTTGCCTTCTTTACTTATAATTGCTAAAGTCATTATTATCAATCATATACTCAATCAATTTATTCTGTTAAATCTATTTGGGGCTTAATATTTCTGGTTGGCTTGCATCTTGTCTAATATTGGAAATATAATAGGGATCATGAACCATTTAATACTCTCCTGACATTTGCTTAGGTGAGTGGATTTAGTGTTATTAATGGAATTACTGTTCGATGTTCTGAACTAAATCATCCTAGTTTGACTAGTAACTATCTTATCTCGATTGATAAACACTATTATTATTGTTGTTAGGAACTTCTTGATTACTAAAAGTTCCCTAGAATTATATCTGAAACATTTGATTCAAATTTTGGCTTACTTAATTAGATGCTGAATTGTACTAAGATTATAAATCATATGGCATGTTATGATTTGGAGATGGCGATACTGAACCTAATCCAAAGGGATTATTAAGAATCTGACTTGTGGCATTAGAAGATACATCTGATTTTTAAATGAATGTTTCTTGATTCAATTAAGAGTTGTGAAAAAACATCTAGTTTCCAAGATTAAAATTGCTACATTAGTTTAAAATGCCTTTCTTTTTGTAGTCTAAGCACTGAACACAGCAACTGCAGCCATTTTCCTTTTAAAAACCTGAATTTGCACTCATAATAGCACCAAATTTATTGGTTTTTACCGTCCCCCAACCGCTATTCTCTTCTAATATACTTTCTTTACTTTCAGGAATAGCTGCTAGAGGTAAATTATTGTAATCTCTTTATCTTGGAGATGATGGACCCTCTGGGTATCCATAATAATTCTGCTATCCAAGATTTTATTGATTTTACATCATTTGTGTAAAAAATGAAACCATCATTGTTTGAAGAAGACTTGGATCACTACTTAGATCCATTTACTATGATGCTTGTAATTATGAGAACATTTGATAGAATTAATTAAACATTTATAGATACTCTGGTGTGATCATGTTCATATCAATCTGTTCTAATGCTTGAGGAGGTTGTTTTATCTATTAATATTACTATTATTGTTATTGCTGCTGCTGATGTTATTAATACATTTAGAATTGCTATTACAAATGAGATTGATCGTTACTCTGGAATTATTCTTGGAAAAGATTTTTATTGTTACTGTCAATCTGATAGCTAACCTAAGAAGTAAAGGTTCGATTAGGAGTGTAATCGAAGAATTCAGTGTTCTGCTGATTCTAAGCTGATTCTGCTCTGCCATTTGAATGAGCAATTAAATTCACCTGATTATCCTCATTGATATTTGAAAATCTATTTAAGCTGCTTGGTCTTTGAAGTAAATATAGACTGTTTTCATCACTTTCTGTGGTAATCTGGTAATTCTAGAGAGCTAAAATTCCTTGCATCTTCTACAGGAAATCTTGATTGTTTTGCATTTGATCAAAAAGATTCTAAAATTGCGCAGGATCAATTTGACTTTGATCATCATCCATTCCATCAATTGGAGCTTACATTTTTATAGACTTTGATAATTTAGAAATTGAATTAATAGTTGTTATTATTGATTTGAATTTATATTTAAAAATAAGAAATTAATCTAATGAAAAAATCAATTCAAAAAATACTACTATTGGTGGGGTTCGAACCCACGACCTTCTGCGTGTAAAGCAGACGTGATAACCACTACACTACAACAGCATTCTCGAGGATCACTCCTCTAAAATTCCTTTTATAAGCTTCTGGGGGCATAAAATATGTTTGAATTATTATTTAAACAAATTTAACTCATTAATTATATTATCTCAAACATCAGTTATTGCTATTAGTCTCATCTGTTGATGAGGCATACTCATTTTTACCTATATTACTTCCTGACTTGAAACTAACAGCTCCTGTGGACCCTTGTTTATTGTGATTGGAACCCAAGTATGAGGTTGGATTGGGAGATCCCAATAAACCTCTGATTGAGTTTTGTACATTCATTGCAAGTGGAAGGTTATTGGAATCTGTTTTATCACTATTTTCTCTATTTCCATCCCCAATATATTTAGCAAAGCCAGAAGTGAAGGCTTGGCTTGTTCCAACTCCTGAATTCTCTTTGGCACCAGCACCCTTTAACAAATGCTGACCGAAGGCAGTGCTGTTAAATTTACCAGCATAGCTTCCTGTAACACCAGTTGCTCCAGCACCTGCACCTCCTTGACCATAGAGATATCCCTTTCTATTTTTATCACTCTTTAGTCTCTCATTTTCTTTCAATAACTGCTCATTTCTTCTTTGAACTCTATCAAGCTGTTCTTAGACTTCTTGCTTTTGAGTTGTTAGGAAATCTTTCTCAAGACCCCACTTGGCTCTTTCCTTCTCGAATTCGAAGATCATTGTTGACCTTCTATTTTCAAGTTCTTTACATTTCTATTCGATTTCACCTATTTTTTGCTTGTAGACTTCTCTATCTTTTTCTAAAGCTCTTTGGTGATCAACAATCTTTCTGTCTCTCTCTTATTTGAGTTCGTCTATTTCCTTTTGAAGTCTTTGCTCGCATTCTTGTAGTTCCTGCACTTTCTTTTCCATGCTGCCATGATCACTCATCTTATCTCTTTGCTCTAATTAGAGTCTGCTCTGAAGTTGTCTATTCTCTTTCTCGAGATATTTAACTTTTTCACTCAATTCTTAAGACAATCTTGAGTTTTATTCGAGTTGCTCCTTCATTTATTATCTATATTTGGACTCGATAGTGCTCAAGAGAACATTTTGACTGTTCTCTCTTTGATCTCTATCAGCTGAACCTCTCTTTTAAAGTTACTCTAGAGTCATCTCGAATTTTCTTGTAGCTTCCTAAAGATCTTGCTTTGCTTGATCTTTTTACTATTCGAGGAAACTGCATCTACCTTCCCAGAGAGCTTTGTCCTTATCATAGAGAGACTTAATCTCTGAGTATTCTCTTTCCATCTCTTATAGACCTTGCTTAAGTCTCTCATTTTCATGAATAAAGACTTCTCTATCCTTGCCTACTTGGTCAGAAGCAATGAGGAGCTGCTCTCTTAATTGATCGATTTCTTGCTAGTACTTGAGTCTTATTTCATCTTTCTTAGTCTCTGAATTCATAAATTTCTCCTCTAAAACTGCTCTTTCCTTTTGAATTTCTGCAATTTGCCTTTGGAAGTTTCCTTCTAACTCCTTGAAAGCTTTTCTCTTTTACTCGTATTTTTGTTCAGACTGCTCTTTCTGTTGAGTCATTCTCAATATTGTTTCTTGAATCTCCTGCTAATACTCCAATTTCTATTGGACATGCCTATCCTCATATTTCACTGATACCTCATCATATTGCTTTTGAAGATCATCAATCTTCTTTTGCTAGAACTCAAGTCTCTGTTTATACAAGGCTATTTCTCTTCCATCCTCTAGCTTCTTTTGCATAAATTCATCAGTGACTTCTTGGTTTTTAGTTCTTAGCTGCTCAATTTTCTCTTGTAATTTATTCTTTTCAACAAGATATTCTTGCTTGTATTCTTCTAGAGCTTTCTTCTTTTTCTCTGCATCTTCAATAGCAGTTTCAAGTTTGTTCTTAACGAGTGTCAGTTCTCTGTCCTTATTAGTAAGGTTAGTATTTAAGGTCTCAACCTTAATGAAAAGTTCCTTTCTTTCATTGTTGAATCTTTCTAACTAAGCTTCCATTTAAGAAGCAGTCATATTTTACTCTTTGGAGAGTCTATCCTCTTTCTCTTTCAAGTAAGACTCAAGAGTTTCGATCTTTTGAGCCATAAGTGCATTATCATGATCAAGTTGATTAATTAGATTTGAGTTTCTTCTTTCGTTTTCTCTGAGTTCCTCTTGGAGCATATCAATATCCTCCTCATGCTATTGCTATTCATCTCTTATTCTCTAATCAAACTCCTCTTGCAGTTATGTTTACTTTTTAAGGGCTCTCTCTTTTTCTTCAGCTAATCTATGCTCTAGTCTAACCTTATCTATTTCATAGGTATTTTTAAGTTGAGCTAGTGATTCTTCAGACTTCGATTATAAATCTCTGAGCTCCTCAGATGATCTTTAGTTTAGTTCATCAAGTTCCTTCTCTAACTGCTCGATTTACACTTTATGTCTCTCTTCGGCTTCCTCTAGCAATCTAAGTTTTTAATTATCAGTCATCTTAGATTGATCAAGAGCTCTTTGTTTTTATTGCTCAATACTTTGGAGTTGTTAATGGAAGTTCTCACTCTCTTTATCATATTCAGCTTTCAGAAGCTTATACTTCAGCTCTAAATCACTATACTTCTCATTTAATTGATCAACCTATTCTTCAAGAGTTGACCTAGTTGAGTTAAATTTAGATAGGAGTTCATTCATTTCCTATTGATGCACCTCTTTGAGATCTTCAACTTACTTGAAAGCAGTCTCCCTGCCCTCATGTGACTCCTTAGCTTTGTTTTCAACAGCTTTGATCATTTAGTCATGAGATTTACGAGACTCATCTAGCTGTGATTTTAGCTAAGAGTTTTATACATCCTTAAACTCAATCTTCTGTTTGAAGATAGCCATTTCTTTTTCGAACATGTTCTTCATATTCTTAATTTCCTCATCTCTATCCTTAACTTAAGTCTCAAGTTCTTCCTCCTTTTGTCTGCTTAGCTCCCTTAAATCTTGAAGTTCAAATGTGAGTTTTTCAACTTCATTTCTACCTTTAGTTTTCAGATCATCGATATTTCTCTACATCTCATTATATTGAGTATGACTCAAGGACATGTTATTCTTCATGCTTGCTTGATTTTCCTCCCATTTAGTTCTCTCATAGGAATATTTTTACTCTATATCTTCAAAAGATGATTAAGCCTCTAATAACTTCTCGGTAGTCTCCTCCAACCTTATGTTTAGTTGCTTGATTTACTGCTCATATTTTTATTGGATTTCTCTAGCCCACTGCTAATGGTCTTTCTTTTCTTTCTTAAGTTCTTAAGAGTATTCATTCTCCTTTTTCTGGTAATCTTGAATTGTTCTTTCCAAGAATTCAATTTTCTATTCAAGCAGAGCCTTTTCCTTCTCATTTTCACTTTCAGTTTGATAGACTTTCCTTTGAAGATCATTTGCAAGCTAGTCTGCATTTTAGAGCTTTTGCTTGTACTCATCAATTTCTCTAAAAGATTCTTTTTTCAATCTATCTGCCTTTTCGATTAATTCTCTCTCGACACTATTCTTCTCTTATTGGAGCCTATCCAAATTTTCTCGTAGACTTTGCTCGATGGCACTCAGTTCTGCCTTTTCTACTTCAGCAGATCTTAATTTAGACTCAAAATGCTCCTTTTCCCGTATATGATCTTGTTTTAATTCCTTGAGTTAAGTTTCTAGATTCTTGTGCTACTCTTGTTAAATGCTTTACTATAGATGAAGCTCATTAATAACTGTTTTGGTGAAAAAATCAGCTGCCTCAGTCACTGCTCTCTGACAGAATTCAAGAAGAATTAATCTTCTCTAAGGACCTGGAGGCCCATTATCAATGAAGTATTGCTAGAAGGCCAAAATATCTTTCTCATATTCATGGAATCCTGAGAACTCTTTATTCTTTAATCTTCTTTCGATGAAGCTGTAAGCTTCACCTAAAAACATATGGCAGGCATGAATGGACTCTCTTTCATTTTCATCTTTGATTTGATTGAATAGAGTACTCATTTTAGTTTTAAGTTCTCTAATATACTCATCTGCAACATTTCCAACTGCTCTCTTTTGGAAATGAGTCTTAGCCTCTTTTTTAGCTTCTAGGTAAATTTCATTCAAGTCTTCTTCTTCCATTGGTATTTTAGAAAGAGCTTATTCTCTGAAGATTTACTCAAATTTCTATAAACTTTCCTCGATTGCTTTGTGACATTCGTTCTTGCAAATGTATGACCAAGCGTTTTCAATGTTTGGGACGGCTCCGTTATTAATAGAAACAACATAGGACTCAGCTAATGTGGCCATCATTTAGCCTGTTAATTTCCTTCCGTTCAGCATTTTAGGCTTTACTCTGTTCATAACTTTTCTTCTGAGGCACATTACCTATTCTATAAATTCTGGTCTCAATTCATCAAGATCCATGTTTGCTAAATTTTGCAAGTTGTCCTCATTTGTAAGAGGTCTTATCATGGTGCAGCAATCTCTTTCTTTGAAAAAGCTTTTCATCAACCTTCTGATTCTATTTTTCTATTCTACATTATCTGAGAAACCTTTTTGAATTTCAAGTGCCTTATCAAGATAATCTTTTGAAGAAATCGGTTCTCCCTCCTGATCAACTAGCTAAAGGGTGAAATCTCTAACAATCCACATAAATGATGGGAAATATGTCCCGTATTCTTCTGTATCGACATCATCTCCACCTCTTGACTTAATATGAATGTGCTTCGTCAGGTTGATGACTAATGATAAATTTTATAAAGCACTTTCATCAATGCTACCAACACTGTTGTACAAAAAGTACCTAGGGTGAAAATTAGAGAAAAATCAATTTAATACGATGAGAGTAAGATAGCAAGTGAGAAAATTCTCACATCGTGATTAGAGTCTTCATCAAGAGCTCCTAATCCTTCAGTGTCTACTATCAGAACATTGATTGGCTCACCATCTGGAGTGGTTCCTGGAACTGGTTTACCCCATAGCCAAAGTCCCTATAAGAATATTTAAACATTTGTGAACTTACTTTAGTGCAAGGATTAATAGTTGGTCCGACTCCAAAACCATTAGATCTGTTTAGGAGCATTCTGTTGAGCAAATAACTTTTTCCTGTTCTGTACATTCCTGCTACAGCTACTAGACCGATTGGTCCATCTATCTTTCTCAATATATCGATAGCTTCTTGAGTTAGAACGAATTCTACATAGCGAAAATATATTGATAAGAATATGTTTACTGCTCTAATCAGGATCATAAATAATGAATGGTATAGCTTCCTCAACGAAAGCTGAGTTATCATATCTAGATGACTACATATTGACTATTTCAATTTTAAATTATAGCGTATATCTATTTTCAAATTCAAATTTAGTTCTTTATTACCAGATTAATCTATCAATTCATTCTCTGGGGTTTTGGGGTTTTGGGGTTTTGGGGTTTTGGGG